AAACTTTGATAGAAAATATTATGGTTAAACCAAAAACCCTTGAATTACATAGAAATAAAACACATTCTACAACAACTGCAAGAGACTTATAAAAGTTAACCCTAATTAATGCGCAGGGTCTTTTGAAATTATTTAAAAAAAACTGTTTGAAGAGAACAATCTCAAAAAAGTTTTCAAAACTGAGCAAAGACATTTCCATGAAGAAAATAGACTACTAACTTCTAAATGAATGCTCTGACAATAAGTTACTTCTTTTAATACTCTATTTCTAGTAATCTAAGTGTCTAATTCTCAAATAAATCCACAAACTTTTTAAGACAAGTAAGTAAAGGAAGGATATGAGATAAAAACATTTCAACAGAACTTCATCAATTTAATAACAAATAAGATCACTTTGCAATAAAACAAGGCAGTAAAACAACAGAGATTCCCATCTTCAAAAGAAAAAAATAATCAAAGGTCAATGAAGGGCAATTTCAATGAACCAGATAAAATATTAAGTGGCACTCACTGTTTGTCTCTTTCACAGAATGTCAGCTTCGGTAGAAAGTAAGAAGGAAAACATTACATTCACTGCACCGAGAAGATTCTTCTCACCCCTTTTATTAAGATTCCAAGATAAACTCCACTTAGCTCTTTTTCCAATGTACATGGTGATCCTCCCAATAAATATTACTTATTTATCTAGTTTTACTCTCAAATTCAGGGGGCTACTTTAGCAATATTTGCCACTTCTTTTTAGGTTTCTTTAATGCCATGAAGAAAATGCCCTTACATCCCAACATTCTAAAGATTTTGTGATCAGAAATAAATCACAGCTATATTCATGGGAACGGGATCTCAACCTTACAGCTTTTGGTCTTTCATGCCATTTTTTTTCTCCGTTGTCATACCTGAAATCATTGCTAATCTAATTCTGCACAAGGATCCTGTTCTCTGCAACTATTTTATTAGGGAGGACACCGGGATGAAATTACTTGAAATATAGCCAACTCCCACACTCAACAACTGATTATCTAGTGTATGGATTATTCATTATCCTTAGTGCCTAGTAAGGCCATTCTCTGGTCATTTTTTTTGTATTTCCTGGGATGGAAAGGAACTGAAATTCAAATGATTCAAATTTGGTAATGTTATTAGCACATATGATACAAGTTCTGAAGAAGAGAATGAAAGTATTGTTTAAATTGAGGCTTTGCATGTCAATTACCCTCTCTATGCACCGACCTGCCAATACCAGGATCATCAATCACGCCTCTGCCCAGCTGAACAGAGCTGGAGATACAACAAAACATGCTCTGCTCAATGACAGGCTACCCCATTATTATTCCACCTCTTTTGGTTTTATTTGACAAGAGAAGGGTAAGTGAGCAAGATGGGGGAGCACAGAATAAATACTAGTCATTAGTTTCCCTTGAGAACCTTCCACAGTGCTGGAAACAAAGCAGGAGCTCATTAAATGTTGTGCAAATCAATGCTAACAGCCAGAAGACCATGCAAAACATGAAAATGCTCAAGATAAAGTTTCTTTATCTGGACCTTCTCATCTAAGACATTCATTTCACACTTTTCACAATTATCCTGCCTTTTCCCTATAATTCCCCCTTAGATGTCCTATCTGCTTCTCCATTTAAGTATGAACTCCATGGCTTCCCAGCCTGTGTGCTATATTCCTTTGTGCACACAGTACTAAAAATTCCTTCAATAAATGCTCTCACAACTCCATATGAGTTGTGAAAAGCTACATATTGTCTCACCTACAACTGACTTCTACTTTTTAACTACACAGGTATCTAATAAAACAGTTCATGATTCACTAAATATATATTCAAGAGGATACTGATTCACACTGTTGATTTTTATGGCTAATTAAGTCAAAACATCATCTGCTATTATAATGGGTCATATCCCACTAAGAATATAAGAACTGATAATTGCTATTTGTTATTTCGTTTTTACCTTCCTCAGTACAAATGTCAATAGTTTTGAAGTTTTGAAACTTGCCATGTGCTGGAACAAAAGGAAACATGCAGGTGCTTACTTGTGATTGCTTTGGACATACCATTATGTATCTTCTAGTTACTTTTCAGGCTCAGGAAAAGTAGTCTAATTGGAAAGATGCTATTAATAGCATCTAATCTTATAAAAACATTCTCCAAAGAATTTTCAAGCACTGTAGTTTTATCCTTATAGTTTCTTGAGTATATGTGACAACATTAAACTGCAAGCCTGTAGGTTTGTGTCCTGATAGATATCCATACAGGTAACTACTTAAAAACTTCATTTGGATGGCCCTAACAAGCAATCCAGCATGGAGATTCACTATCAAAAGGGCTTCTAAGAACTGTTTTATAAAATGAGCAGGCATACAACATACTATCCATAGGACAGTAAGGATTCAGTGGGCCAACTGCGCAAAGCAATGTGACAGGAAGGCAGTGGTGGGCAGGGAGCTGGCAAACACTCTGGCCTTGCAGCAACTGCTGGATGGAAGGGAGAAAGGCGTAAGGCTGCAGAACTGGACCCCCCAGCAGCCAGACATCCCATGGGGGTGGGGAGATCACAGGACACAACCCTGAAGCAAGGTTGACTTATTAAGCTACACTGCCCTACCTCTAGCTCTCACTGCTTGTGGTGGTGTATGTTGGGGGGGAGGGGGAGGCGGGACAGCAGGTTTCTAGAAACCTGTGTAGATCAAAAAATGTTGGGGAGTTGGGGAGCAGGCTGAAAGGAAAGTACGTGGTCTCAAACGTATGTGGTCTGGGAAGGCAGATCTAAAGTAAAAGAAAGATGCTATACGCTTCCCATCAGACGGGTAGGTCTTCAATGCACGTTTATTTGCAACCGAATCTTAACATGGCCATTTGGCATTCTTAGTGCTGACTGATAATCCCTGCTAGACTTTTAGCTTATTTGATACTCATCCTAAGAAAAAAAAAAACTCCAATCTTGCATAATTTTTGTGAAAGATTGACCCTCTTTTGATCTGGAAGTATAAACAAATGTCACTCCTGTATTTCTCCAAAGGGAAGAACTACTCGAAATAAAGATCAACTGTCAATGACATACCCCTGGGACAGTATGTCAAAGTTGGGAGCCAATTTTCTTTTGTAAGTTAAATGTAAAAATTTTGATCTACAGAAATTTTAAGGCTTTCCCCCTATCTCCCTATGTCAAAAATGGCAATATTACCCATAGCCAATTATTTCTAAGAACCATATAAATTTACACACTGTATGTTGCTCCCATTTCTCTTCATGGGGCTACTGTATCCCCCTATTACATTAAGGGATAAAGGGCACAATCTTTTGTATTGTTGCATAAACAAGTCCTCCCTCCCTTTACAAGTCACCCCTCCTCTCTACAATAACCTCATTATTCTTCACAAGTCAAGTGTACAGTATTTGCTTCATTTCCCAGCTAAAACTAACACATGCACATTCAGTCTCTTTCCCTTTAATGTTAATTTAGATGGAGCATCTATGATAGAAATCCTAAAGCCACGTGCTCACATGTATATAGTGTTTAATGGAAACCTGACAGCGGTTGACCTAAAACAAAACAAGTCATAAAAGAACAACCTTTGGCAAAGGCCAACGGAATCAAAACTACACCCTCTGACGACCACAGCACTACTGTATCCACCCTTCAAACATTTTTGCCTCAAACATTACAACCCACCCATTGACCAAAACCGCAGGTTATTCCTGATTTAGAAGAGCAAAGTTCGTGGACTTACTAAATAGCACAACTCCAGTCAGAAAGCATGACACCTCTTCTCTGAGTGGCAATTACACCACATCTGAACTAAAATCCTGCATCTTTAAGCTCAGTGTCAGTGGACCACTGTTGAGCCCCTTCCTGACATACTAAACAATTGACCTCTTCTGAGAGCATTAACTAGTCCCTCTTGTGCCACAGTTTAACAGAGAAGATCAAACTGTTTAAAACATGTTATCCGTGAGGAAGAGCTGCATTAAATTCTCAGTCTGTGGACTAGAAACACTGTACCCATCAGCACATATTTAACTTAGTTTATTCTCTCAGGATTCGGAGGTTTTGTTTCCCAAAAGAAGGGAAAGAACAGGTCACTGAAAGATTCTAGCAAGGTCTCTTTTGGCACGGGAAGAATGTGATAAACAGGGAAAACACAATCACGCGGAATGTCTGGACTAGGTTCCTTTGTAATACTTAAATAGCACTCCCCTACCAGGCTTTGCCACAGCACCGAATAGGGAAACCATTTTAGAGCTTAACAGTGCAGTCTCTACAGTAAACACTCTAAGAGGGAGAACTCAGAAATTCTAAATATAAAATAGGGGTGTGTTAAGAAATATTGAAATATTTCCCTCTCTCCTACCAGGACTGATATTTTTCTTCACCCTGAGAAGGGCAAAACATGCTAACCCTGAGCACGGAGACCACAGAGACCGACACTGGTCTGAAAAGGAACTTGAAAGAAATCCAAAAACTCCTTTTGACCACACTATCAAGGGCAAGCCTTTCATGTGTTCCTCTTCCTTGATGTCATTCTAACACCTGTTTAATGCAAGTGTCTGTGTCCTTCACCAATCTTCTTAAAGAAAGACGCAAGAAGACTATTCATCATTCCCAAAGTTTTCTCAGTGTACTGTTTCACTAAAAAGCTCCATGTCCCAACTTCAAGTTGTAAGAGAATTAGACTCCTTCTGTGAGGGAGGTTTACCATTGAACTTTTCACAAAGTCACCTGAGTGTGTGGATCTGTTGAAGGGAAAGGGTGCTGAGGACAACTAACAGCTCTTATCCTTCTTAGAAGGACACAATCTCAAGCTGAATCTAGTTGGAAGAGTGCTTTTATTTTAGACACGTAAACAAATGAACAACACCGAATTCCAATACAAAAACAAAAAACTCTTAACAGGGCCAAAAAAAAATCATAAAGGGAATCAATGATAGAAAACGAATTCTACATCGCAAACTTCTAAGAATTTTTAAATAAAAACAAAAAAATCAAGTCACCTTTTCTGGGCTGGGTTCTGTAATTCCAGTTTTCATCATCTGCTTCCACCTGCTGCCCACAAACCGAGAGCTCTCCATCACTGCGAAACAGCCTCTTTGTCTGCCTGGACAAGGAGGAGAAATTTATCCAACTCACAGCACGTGAGAGAGACCCTGAATTTGACTTGAGTCTGAAAGAGCCTTCCTTTTTCATCTTCTTTCACACCAACATCGACTACAGACAAAGGACAGCCCAGCAAACAAGAAGCTCAGCTTTACAATCGGTCCATGTCCTTTAAACCAACCTGCTCCTTCCCACTTATTCAGACAATGTTGAGAGTCAGGCACGGCATTATGCAGAAAGACTGCTTCTATGTCACCCAATTACAAAGAAAAGGAAAATGAAGGGTTAGGAAACAAAACAAAACAAAACAAAAAAAAAATTTTTTTTTTTTAACCTAGCCACATTGTCGCACTTGGTTTGGTGTAATTTTAAAAATGAAGCAGGGTGTTCATTTCAGGAACACCTGTCAGGGCTTGGAGAAGAACAGAACCAAGGCACTCCGACTCTTTGGTGTGTGCCTAGCATCCCATACTGTAATCCTGCTCCTGGCCCAAGCATCCTTCCCCACGAGGGCAGAGAGCAGCCAGCCGCCGTTCGCTGCAGACACACGGAAGCAACTCCTCAGGCTGGAGAAAGAGGTTCGCCGTCAACCCGGGCGCCCCCGTTTAAACTTCACCCACACAGGTGACTCAGGGGAAATCAAAGAGTTCAGCTCCCTTGTCGTAGCACAGCACAGAATCATAAAGCGCCCGCTTGCCCTCTTTCCCCGTCTGGGGAACCGCTCGCGATCCACAGGACTCCACAAACAATAAAACAGGCTGCGTGGCTATTGCCTGGATTACAGGGTAAGCGCTCTGGGGAAAGGCATAGGCTCTCCCCAAACGGAAGGCAGCTCATTGGAGACAGAAAACCCCGCCTCCTCTCCACAGGCAATACTTCTGCGGCAGCTCAAACTTCTGAACTCCAGCAAAGCTGGGAAGTGTGAGTCTGTGCAGAATACAGACTTCTGGAAATTAAAAGAAAAGAACTTGATTATTAATCATCAGAGCACACTTCTGAAGGTAGGATTCTAAAAGAGAGAGAGAGAGAGAGAGAAGGAAGTTTAAAAGAGCATATAGTTTTAGAAACATCGAGCATTCCTTGATTGATCTAGGGATGTCATCATCTAAGAAAAGGTATGTCCAAAGAGAAACTGACTCAGCTATTCCTTCACTCCCAGCTTTCGGTGAAGATGAAATGCAGCCATTCTCGCACCTGCTGTTGTCTCTCCTGTCTCCCACCAGCAGCCAGAGAGTGGGGTGGGGCGGAAGACCCTCCTGTGCCTCCCCCGCCGGCAGCGCCTACGGGTCATTCCTCTCCAGCTTGGAAAGATCATCCTATCATGGAGAACCATCATCTGAGAGCTATGTTAGCCGCAATTAGCTGCAGGCTCCAGCCCCAAGACACCTAAAACCATTAATCGTGATATGCAAAACATCTAGAGCCAGATGCTGGAATGCACTGGGTGCAGCATTTCACCCAAGGCCAACATAATTCCATGGTCCCGAGGGTGTTAAAAGTCCCTGTAACTTTCCATCACAGAGACTTGGGTCTGGCATCCCCTCCCCAAAGTGTTATTCAGAGTAAGGCTAACAAGCAATGAGTAGACAACTGGGTCCATCTCACTTTACTCAGCAGTGAGCAAACATACTAAAACTAACACAGTGCAACAGAAAATAAACTTTGATTAAAAATTATAAAAGAGGGATTTTGCATCATACATCTGCCACCGTGCACTGAGATTTTTAAGAAAAAGTCTCTAAAGCTTCCAAGGACGGAGACCTTCATAGAAGAAAATCACAGAGCTGCTGCAAAACATTCCTCATATGGACAGCTCACACTACCTCGGAAACCATGACACAGAACAGGCACCGAGAACTAAGGGCGAAGCTAAAGTAGCCTAGGGAAAACAGAGACTCAGTTGAAAGCTAAAAGGGTCCTCAAGAGCTCCTGCAGTTTAAACCCCTCAATTCACAGATGAAGAAATTCAGGCCCAGAGAAGGCATATGACATACCCAATATCACCCAGAGGAGTCAGGAATGGGACCAGGTCATGTCAGACACCGCTGGGTTCAAAGTCTTGCCACTTACTGGGGGTGGCAGCTACATCACCAAGCACTCTGAGCTCTGGAATGATAAATTGGAATGATACCTCTACTTTGATCACTTCCATAAATGCAAAAATAACATAATTATGCAGAGCACCAGTGCCTGTAAAAATTCAAATATCAAATATTCTTCCTTTTTCCCCCCAAATATTCTTTCTGAGTCAAAGACACTTTTGAGAATCTCAAAAGGTAAAATAAAAAGTTAAAAAAAAAAAGGACCATTGTACCAGAAAAAATAAAAACATCCTGAATGCTGCCTTCCATTTCAGAGGTTCATGGGAACCCCTGACACCCACATGTGCATTCTCTGAGGATCTAGGGACCTTCCCGAAAAAGAATACCATTGTTCCCTCCCTGATGTCTCCATCCTACAGCTAGATTTTTAATGTAGGAATACCTAAACTCTGAAATAAACCTTGCGCTGTTCTTTGCATTCAGGGAGTACTGTTGCTTTTCCAACCCACCCTCCTTGGAATGTACGCACCTATATACACAATAGCAGAGACAAATAGGTGTCATCAGTAACCAGTGTTTCCCTCCAGTACTTCCTGTCCTTATGCGCATCTGAGAGCAAGCCCATGAGCAGGGCTGGAGAAACATCCACTACCAAGCAGCCAAGAAAGCTAACTGGTCCATTCAGGGTCTAGACTCATGACTCTACTTCAAAGTAAGTACACACTTAAGCTAGACTTGCAACTTAACTAACGTATTTCCCGTTATTCACAAGACCTATGGATATGTCTGCACAATAACGAATTCTCTATTTCCCAGCTAATTCCACATTTCTGTCATATTGGCCCTTGATTATTAACATCTTCCTTTATGTAAAAGAAGGTCAAATAAATTAACTACCTCTACAACAGGATCAGAGTTCCTCTATAGCCAAGATAGAAACATAACGGTTTAAATTAGCTTTGGGGGAAACATTTAGATTTTCACTATGTTAGGTACGTACTCCCATTCCCTTAGAAAATCATAAGTGGGCTGCTTGAAAAGCTATTGCATTCATTCAAACTGAATTTTTTAGCAACTACAATGAACCACACATTTTAATCATCAGGATCCCAGAGCCACACACAAATCTACTGCTCCAGGCAGCAGGGTCAAGGCTACTCTGCGCCCGGCACTTCATGTGGATCCCTGCTGATCTTCACAGTGACCCTGCCGTGGAAAATCCTGTGAGAGTCTAACCTGTTTCTTCAAATGTAATCGTCAGTATAATGAAACATCTTAATTTAACATTTTTCCCCGTGAAAATCTACAATAGAATAGACTCTTCTCAGAATTTTGAACCAGACCTGCTGCACAGATTTTGTCTGCATCCCTTACTATGCGGTGGTTTTTCATCCTCACCACTCCCCTCACTGTCAGGCTGTCAAACTGAAACTTCTGTTGTCACTGTAGGTGCCAGTAACCACTCCCTGCCTACCACTTCGCCACTGCAGGGCTTCAGGCATCGAGGAACCAGATAAATCATCTTGCTTCAATTATGTGTTTAATGGGAGTTGATTAGCACCCCAGAACGAAATACATAGCTTTGCCACAGCTGCCTCCTGGCTGGCACCCTCACCCTTGGACTCGCGAGGTGGGCGCCCCACAGTTTCAATGGCTGTTGGAGCAGCCTCTGGATAACAGCCCCCAGGCGGGTCTACACCAGGTTTATGACTCATTGCCTCTTCCATGTGAAGTTCTTAATACTTGAGGGTGGTGAGAGATTTACCCATCGCTAATGACAAAAGGACAAGAAATTATATTATTCCGGGAATGATTTAAGTCAGATCTTAAAGAAAAGTTTAACAATAAAAACTGGGAGGCACCAGACTATATTACTAAAGGAAGTTCCAGGATCATCATCTTCTTTAGGATTTCCTAAGCCAAATATCCATTAATTTATTAAGATTTATTTATGTTTCTACCAAGAGTCAAATGGCTAGACTGAATACATTTGGAAAGTCCTTGCCAAAAGACACAATATTTCCTGACAACCTTAAAAAGTTTTGCTCAAATGGAAGTCTTTGATTTAGTAAAAATTGTTAAACATGACAAGACATAGGATTAGACACACCCCTCAACCCACCCGGGCGTGTAATTGCCCCATTTGCCATCTGTGTAAAATGCCAGCCAAGAGTAGGAACTAATACCAAGTGCCATCAGTTTTTTGGCCTCAAAGGCCACCAATGAGCACTGTGGCTTTTCATTTCCGTGTGTACCTTTCCTGCCCTGACCCCCACCCTTCAAATCTGGAAGAAGGAATGAGAGAAGCAGAACCCTGAAGTTAGAAATGAGTAGAGAACAGTGTGGGCTGGTGGAGCTGGTGAGGTGGGCTGGTTTGGCTGGAAGCGGGGTGCACACACAGAAGGCCTTGAACAGAGACAAAGGTGACACAGCAGTGAGAAGAGTCGCTCTAAACTGGGTCCTGTTCTAAAGCAGCCCTGCCCCCGGGTAGGAGCAGTGAAGTGTGCACCCTATCAGATTACCACATGAAATCACCCAGACAACCCACGGGGACCTTTAGCGTCTAGGACAGGGTACAGTAGGTTTTCCAACTGTCGGCTCTTGTAAATAATTTAAGAGTAGATTTAAATGCAAACTTTCTATGAGGTAATTTGTACACACTAGTAATGAAACCTTATCTTAATATCTAGAAGTAAACGATTTGAGCCAGACACTTATAATGAGAAAACAAAAAAACATACTACGCCCAGGGCCACAGCGAGCCAACTCCCACAGTACACTAAATCCTCCTTGTCAGCCACCTCCCAACGCCCAAGGAATCAAACTGATTTACTCAAGAAGGAAGTCATGGAAGACAAAACCTTGCCCAATTACCTATTCAGAGACAATTCAGGGTTCCCTCCTCAACCACTGCTTCAATATTTAAAAGAGAGAAAAGCACTGCCTTTTTATAAAGCTGTAGCTTTAAAAGACAGAATACGTTCCTTTCAGCGCAATGAACGTGTTGTTCCCCTCAAATGGAAAGATTAAATGCAAACATTTGTGATT